TCCCAATCCCAGGCCGCCATGCAGGCAGGAATAAAACACACGGGCTCTGTGACACTGCCAACACTCAGCTCGGTGGTGCGAGGGAGGCTGTAGTACTCCTCAAACGTCCTATTTAAAATTCACCGCAACCTCTGCTGTCAAATCTCTCTGACACCAGTCGAGCTCTGTCCCGGACGCGACAGCGCACACCTCCTGACACACCCATGGATTCGGCCAATCGGCGCAGGCTTTTCGACGGAAAGCCACGCCCACCGGTTTAAGGTCGCGTTGCTGGCCAACAGATCTCATTGAGACGATGATGGTATTATTTAATGCGCCTGAATAATATCTCGCCATGTTACTTAATATAATTAATTATAAAATAATTCACATCACGTATGTTGTCTTAGCAATCAAAGTCTGTTTAGTTACGCTAAAGAGGGTTTACCTTTAGCGACCTATTCATTTTTTTCAAGTTAAGACAATGTCACAATAACACACCTCTGCTGCCACCGACTGGTGATATCCTAAAATTAATCGATGGTATCGTGTGTACATTTGAAGATATTTTCTACCCTAGGGGGTTTCAGTCTTTAAGATGCCACTTGAACTGAAAAGCAAAAAGACAAAAAAGACCTCTAACACTAGCTTGCTCTATTCTTTTTCTATTCTATCTGTTTTCTTTTTATTATATTCTTTAAAAAACTCTTGCTACGTGTACTGCGTTAAGCTAACTGAGACTTGTTATAGCCCTTGTGTATCGTTGCTCTTTTGATTGCTTCCATTGTCTTCATTTGTAAGTCGCTTTGGATAAAGTGTCTGCTAAATGACTAAATGTAATGTAAACTACTGTGTACTTACATTTTTTTGATACAATGCACTTCTTGTGCACGTACATGTTTTTACATTGTACTTATATTAAAAATACCTTTCTGTAATTAATTTGTTGTTACATTTGTAATTACACTGTTGTCTCTACCCCCTATACCTTAACCCAACCTAAACCTAACCATACCACCAAACCTGTCCCTAACCGTAAACCATATCTCACCTCAATAGCAGCAAGTGTTTTACAACACAACATGAACACAGCAGGTACTTTGTACCAAACTATTATTATTATTATATTTATTATTTTACAAAGTACACTGTAGTTAAAGACACCTAATATAAATTGGGACCAATGTATTGAATATCATTTGGAAAATGTGTATTACATAATTACATAACATGACATTGTCATGCAAGAAAAACGTTACTCAGTCTGGCAATAAAGTACCATATATCATATCATATCAACTTTTCCTATTCACTATAGTACTGTACTGTTCATTATTTATTTAAATGCCGCAGCCATATCACCCTGTAGCCCAAGACTGGTTGCCCATCTGGATGGGAGACCTCCTGGGAAAACTAGGTTGCTGCTGGAAGAGGTGTTAGTGAGGCCAGCAGGGGGTGCTCACCCTGTGGTCTGTGTGGGTCCTAAACAAATAGACTGTAAAAAAAAAAAACTAAGTGGATTGGAGGATTCTATGTGGGTGTATCTCGGGTGTACTGGCCAAATTCTCTCCACTGGCCCTTGTCAATCATGGCCTCCTAATAATCCCCATCCACTGAATTGGCTCTATATCTATCTCTCTCTCCTCTCCACCTGTAGCTGGTGTGTGGTGTGTGGTGAGCGCACTGGTGCTGTTGTCCTGTGGCTGCCGTCGCATCATCCAGGTGGATGCTGCACACTGGTGGTGGATGAGGAGATACCCCCTGACAATGTAAAGCGCTTTGAGTGCCTAGAAAAGCGCTATATAAATGTAATGTATTAAAGGGGGTACCTGATTCAGGATGTAACCAGACCTCGATCCATCAAAGCCTAATTCAGCCGGCGGCATTGGATAAGAGCTGCGTGGTTCGCTGTGGTCTGTGTGGGTCCTAAACAAATAGACTGTAAAAAAAAAAAACTGAGTGGATTGGAGGATTCTATGTGGGTGTATCTCGGGTGTACTGGCCAAATTCTCTCCACTGGCCCTTGTCAATCATGGCCTCCTAATAATCCCCATCCACTGAATTGGCTCTATATCTATCTCTCTCTCCTCTCCACCTGTAGCTGGTGTGTGGTGTGTGGTGAGCGCACTGGTGCTGTTGTCCTGTGGCTGCCGTCGCATCATCCAGGTGGATGCTGCACACTGGTGGTGGACGAGGAGATACCCCCCCCTCATATGATTATAAATGCCTCTTTCATTCATTCAAATCAAATTTGTATTATTTATTTGAATATTTTTATTTTTTGATAATTTAATTTGTTGAATTTTATTTTTATTATTTATTTTCATAAATCAAAATGTCCTATTCACTATAATACTTTACTGTTGGATTATTTATTTATTTAAATCACATTTTTATTATTAATTGAATATTTTTATTAATTGATTATTTAATTTGTTGAATTTTATTCATTTTTTTTTATATTTTTCTGTAAACCTTTGCCATTTGAAAACCTCTGGCCTCATGCCACTGTAAGATAAAATGGCCAGATTTTCCAATGTATTTATTCATTCATTAATATTATTTTTAATTAATTTAAAGCCCATCCTCATTGATATTACAGTTCTATTGCATGACGCCTTACTATAATTCTATTAGTTTGTTCGTTGCGTCGTTGAGGCAAAAAAACAAAACCCTTTTGAGGACTGGGTTGATGTGAAAATCTGATGTGGTCTCAAGGGAATAATATTAAACCCTTATCCTCTGTGGATTATTGTAATGTGCATAACAAAGTAGTTTTGTCAGACTAACGGTGCTGCAGTCCCCCAGGTAATGCTGACATAATAAGCATGCATACACATAGGAAACAGGTGTTACAGCATAACACCTGTTTCCAAAGAAACAAAGCTTTTTCAAGGTGACATGGCTGTCACATTCTGTCCGCCCTCGCTGCTATTCCTCTTCTGTAAGTGCCAGTCTAGGGGTGCTCCTGTGGAGATCTGCCAGCCAGTGCCCATAAATTGAGCAGCAGTGAAAGGTCAGCCTGCCTACAGCCCTGTAGTTGTTAACATCAGCTAATGGCCGTCTGGAGCCATGGCCATGTTTTATTTACAATACAAGCTACCTTGGCAGAAGCACTCTACTTGTTTCTGTACTGCATTTTTAATAACAAATGAAATAACACAATGCCATAGCTTCATTACATCCTTGTGAACGAAATACTCTTCATTCATGCGGATCTGTCACAGAATGGTGGGAAATGTGATCTTAAAGAGAAATATTACTCGAAAATAAAATTTGTCATTTCGCCCTCATGTCATTCTGAAGCCGTACGACTTTCTTTCTTCTAAAGAAGACAAAAGGAGAAATCTGGAAGAATATTCCAGCCACTCTTTTAGGTATAGTACAAGCAAATGGGGACTGGAGCTTCAGAATGCAAAAGCACAATAAAAGTTGTTAATTAAATTTTATTGTATCAAAACAAAGGAGGGGGGGGTCTGGTGATATCCTTTAAAAATGCACATTTTGTGTTCCACAGATGAAAAAAAGGGTCATACAGGTTTCGAGTGACGTGATAGAAAATGTCAGAATGTTCATTTTTGAGTGTACTATTCCTTTAACTCGTAGAGATTTCTCATAGATAATTCTTACGAGATTATTTTGCCTTTATCCTTAATAAACGTCAATATCATGCTTGAGGCAATGAATAAAAGAGGCAATCTTTGAAATATCAAACTGTTTATTCCTGTTTAAAGTATTACACACCTGTGCTGTATGTAATCCTCATGCAGCTATTAATGGCAAGATCATCATAATTAGAATCTTGGGAAACTAAAATATTTAAGAAAAGTGAAAGGATATCACTCTTCATAGAGTGGGTGAACTGTCTGGCGATGTTTTGCTGCCCTTCAGGGAAGGCAGTAGGTTGTATAGTTATCTCCTGATGGGGCAAAAACACAACCCTGAAACCACACAACCTACTACCTCACCCTGTACGAACATCACTGCTGAATAATCCGCAACAACACAATGACACATTTTTGCCTTTTGAATTCTTATCAGTAATACCGTACACTACGTATACCTTTTTATATTAGTATATATTTTGTATATATACTGTTTTGAAGTTTTACAGTTCCCACACACATGCTTCTGACAGTTTAGTCTTTTGTTTCTTCCAAAAAAATTGACACCAGCTACACTACACTGATTTTGTCCAATCAAACTCAGTCATGACTGTGATGTAACTGAAGGCTATTGGCTATTTAATGAAAAGGGATAAGCCCTTAAATATGCCCCACTCAAACTTTCTGTTTCAGAAGGAAATACGCCAATACAAGAAAGAATAGAGATTTCAAGGATGTTTCAGAATGAATGATGTTCAACAGCATCAATCTCATTTAAAATTGCCAATTGTTATAATCACTATCAGCATATACTGCCCTCTTTATGGATTAATGTGAATGTTTGAACAATATGTGATGCAGCAAAAACAAAGCGGCATTAATGCGTTTCTAACACAAATTTAATCAGTTTCAGTTTTTTTTTGTTTTTGTAACGCTAACAGTATGGCATGAATCATGTTTTTAAATTCTTTTATTGTAAATATCTGATAAACATTTAAGCCTGCATCAAGAATACAAGCATATTTTTGATAAACACACATTAATGCTGGAATTATTTCTTCTTTCCTGTTGACGTCCTCCATGTGATGGCACTACGGTCACTTCGGGAAAGACAGTAAGTTGTATAGTTATCTGACAGCAAGGGTTAAACCCTCAAACTATACAACCTACTACCTCACCCCAAACGACAGTCTCTCTTTTCCTCTTCCTGCAACAGCATTTTCCATTCTTTTTTTTCTAACAAAATGCCTAATAACTGCCCAGTATCTAACAAATCACATGACAGTAACTGACAGCATTAGGTGAATCACAGAACTGACGAAAGACACTAATATGTGAAGTGAAGTGTAAATTTGTGGGCTTAAACTGCTTGTCATACAACACTCTTTGCTGTGCACTAAATACAGCCCCTATCACCTGTCTCCAAAGCTTCAGTCAGGGATCCTTCAAAACCATCAAGGTCACCAACATGAGAAAAGTAGATAGTCACTTCCTGGGTTTGCTATCTGTGAAAGAATGAGAGAGAGAGAGGGTTATTGAGGCACGAAATTCCCATACTCAAGTCACTACATCAGCTCCATGTCCCGTTTGACCTGTGTCATCTGTTGCGCTGTACGTCTATCTACTGCTGACCCTGGCAGTATATACAGGGGTGCATGAGCGGATAAGGACGGGGGTGTTTGGGAACTGGCGTGTGTGTGGTCAGAGCGGGTGGGTTCAGCGTGAGTGAGTAAGGTTGTGGGCAGCAGTGTGGTTTACCTCAGACAAGTAAGAGGCACACACACACACTGCTGACTCACACAGGCCAAGAACCTCACAGGGGCGAGTGGTTACTCACACACATTTTCAGGTTAAGAAGATATTAAGATAAAAGATATTAAGACTTGTTTTCAAATGAACTGAAATGATTGAGTTGATTTTTTTGCATTGTTTGATTTTTTGTTTTCAAAAATGAATAAAATGTAACAATAAAAGCATTTCTCAAACATTTCTAACACATCACACAGTTACATGAATTGACCTCCTTCTGTCACTGGAACAGTGACACCTCACCTAAGAGTCAATATGACTAATCAAGTCCAAACATGTCATGGTCAATGGCCTTCATGGTTTTCTACGGGAAAGAGAAGAACTGACTGCAGAGCTGATATGTCCATTTGGAAAACGGCTTGCTGTACTTCATCTAAAGCCGGTTCATTTACAGCAGGGCTGGGATCGTACTCCAAAAGAGACAGCGATGCACAGAGAAATGGACAGAGCCAAGGAAACCAAGGCACTAACATGTTGTTGTAAGATCATACTTTCACTCAGAATCAGTGTATGGAAGTTGTTGCTATTCTAAAACTCCATTCCTAAAAGCAATTATTTATCGAGCGGCTTCAAATATATTTCGCAAAACCACCCAAGCAATTTACACTCATTTGATTACTAGCATATTAAGAACATTACCAGAGTATTAGAAACATTGCTACTGATAAAAGCAATCAGGTTGTAGTTTACATTAGTGGTGAAACAAACCATAGATCGTTACTTTCTTGAATTACTGGAACTTTTGAGAGCTGGTGGAGTAGCTAACAGCCATAAGGTGGCGCTGATGCCATATTCCCTTACAGTTTTTCGCCATTCAGTGAAAATAGGTCCAGTATAC